AATCAAGCTTACACCTTAATAATAACATAAGCTTGCACACTCACCACGTCTTATACACTGTATGCATTTGAACTGCAATATTAATCAATACACCGATTGATATGTATTAATAAATATTAAATCGTTTATAACGATTTTTTGATAAATTCTATTGAATAACAATATTTGATAAGTATGTTTTAAATGATCGATACAGCTTGATAAAATATGTCACATATTATCTTATTTACAAGTATGTAATAAAACTTTGGCCTGTAAATTTATTCTTAGATGTTKGGAGCAATATTTTTTTCAAACTTTTGGTATATCTTAGAGGATAGAATGTGACATAAATCTTTCATATTTTGCACTAAAATAGCTGTCAAGTTGTTTTCTAGTCCATGATTTATTCCACCTGTTTTTAGAGTAAAAACATAAAGTTTGTTTATACATATTTTAATAGTAGTTTATCTAAGTGTTRTTATTATTTCTCTGAAAATGGCTCAGCTTTAACAATTGCATAACAATGATGTGTTATTCCATAAAAATCAATATCTTCCCATCTAATGGGTAAAAGTACACTATATTTCTCTAATGTTGAATCTCAGTGTTGGACATAGTTTTGGACTGCATTAGTCTTTTCACTTGGTTCCACTGAGGTTCCAAGCAGCTGTCCAATCTTTAGCCATGAGTCTCTGTAGTATTTCTTACTCAGCTTCGCAAACAGAACGTACTTAGTTCTAACAGTATTGTCAGCTCTTCGTATATGTGCAATATGCTTCAAATATTGTGAGTTAATGAAATCTCTGAGGCACTGTGTCTTCATGATATTCTAAATTAATGGATTAATGTAAAAAGAAGCCTACCAACAAATCAATATTCCAAACAATATATCATGGCTGCCACCATATAATGGTTGAAATCCTCTATATACCCTCCCGAAACCATCCCCACCCCTTGGAAATCCCAATCGCACTCTTTGGGTGAGATATGGCTATTTTCTGGAGCTACGCAATATACCCTCCTCATACCCTCCCCACCCCTTGGAAATCTCAATCCCACTCCATGGGGGAGGTATGGATATTTTCTGGTACTACGCAATATACCCTCCTCATACCCTCCCCACCCCTTGGAAATCTCAATCCCACTCCATGGGGGAGGTATGGATATTTTCTGGCACTACACAATATACCCTCCTCATACCCTCCCCACCCCTTGGAAATCTCAATCCCACTCCATGGGGGAGGTATGGATATTTTCTGGCACTACACATTATACCCTCCTCATACCCTCGCCACCCCTTGGAAATCTCAATCCAACTCCATGGGGGAGGTATGGATATTTTCTGGTACCACAATATACCCTCCTCAGCACCATCCCCCTCGCCCAACCCTTGCTTCTTGGGAATCACAAGAGAGTTTTAGAATGACCCAAGACATGATATCAATTTTATTTTTATTTCTTGTTGTAGGCGCAGTCAGTGGCCAGCATTTCTGTTCGTGTTTGCATATTTGTTTTTCTTTAGAACATGTAATTACTTTGGCTTCTCCAAACCACCAATGCATTCTAATGCAGTGCAATTGCTGATAACACTTCGAGTGAGTAAAAAACCTTTAATTTTTAGTGAGTAATTTTCATTTTCAATAGCAMCCACGGAATTGTAGAATTTGCTCTCACCACAAAATAAGGTTCTATCTCGATATATCATTGCAATTATTGATAATGACTCAAAATGCAATATATATATTTTTTGATGCATTTCATCTGTTTCAGCTCTGTACACTWCCATTTGAGATTTTTGATCCTGAGATTACGAGAAACAAGGACGCTGCAACATCCACACCAAGTTTCTATGAATTTATTAGTTATTGTTACTGCTATTGCGGCATTATGACTGGGCCTTACTACAGATACAAGACATATAAGGATTTCCTTGAACAGGAGAATCCCGAACAGATATCAACATTCCGTCCTGCTTTACGTCGATTTAAACAAGCACCATTATGGGGGGCATTGTACCTTATTATGAATATATATTTTCCTATCAGCCATATYGGCACAGAAGAATATGTCAATCATCCTTGGGGTATCTTATATCAGTTAGCTTACCTTGTACCAACATTTAATGGTTTTCGATGGCGTTTTTACATYGGATGGATATTGGCTGAGAGTAGTTGTATGATGCTTGGTCTGGGTGCATATCCTTTTGAGACAGATCCCAAGCCAGGTCTGGGCCCCACTAAACCAATGCCGACAACCAATGGAGCTATCAATGATAAAGAATGCAAACAAGATACTGATGAATCTGATACTCATAGGTAACTATGCTTTTTTAAATGTAATGAGTCCAATGCTCTAGCAACTGAGATAACCRGTAACTTATTTTTCAGAGTTGTCATCAAAGGACTATCTAGTTCTATCTGTTAGGGTTGAAATTTAACATCATCGTAGGTTTTTTCTGGCTCACACAGTTAGCCATTTTTTTTYCACTTCTTTTAGCTTGCTCTGTAATCTTCCTCTATGGTAACACTGGCTTYGCATGTAATCCATTTAGTCATTTTTTCAATTGTAACACTATATTCCCTGATAATGGATCTAAGATCCGAAAGCTTGGAAAATAATAAATATATGTAGATGAAACATCAAATGAGTATGATCTTTTACATTCCCAGCTTCAAGACAATTCATAACATCAAGATCTTTGAGGTTGAATATTCTCCCTCGATGTCAAAAATCATGAAAGATTGGAACATGACAGTCCAGTGGTGGATTTCAGTCTACGTACACCGCAAATTACCTTTTGCAAATAGAAATGTTAGGTGCGTACTACGATATTGTCTTTGTCTCATTAACTGATCATTACTTTGAGCGCTATCCAGCATCATGTAGAGTAATATATACATTTTTTTAATACYTCCAGAAATTATCTATACTGAACCATCCATACCATCCCCCCTCCAACAGAGGAATTTGGAATTTCTAAGGGTAGGGGGGAGGGGGTCAGAGAAAGAACGAAATTACAGAGTTTGTATGAAAGAAAATTGGAATTTCCAGGGTGTGTGTGTGGCGGGGGGGGGGGGTGTGGTGGGGGTCTTTGAAAAATTCCTCCTTGGGGGGGGGGTATGAATAATTTCTTGAACTACACATTGACTGAATATAAACGATATAAGAGCTCATTTTATACAATCATGAAAATATTTTTGTTGTTTCAGGCTGTTTTTGACTCTCCTTGTAAGTGCATTCTGGCATGGTGTTGCACCAGGATATTACCTAACCTTCCTCAGTGTACCACTAATAGTTATGTCTGAGTATGGCATGGAAAGGGCTATTAAACCCTATCTGTCTGAGAAACTCCGCTATGTTTATGACTGGTGTAGCTGGTTTTTCTTGTACCGTGCRATGGAGTACACTGGCTGTGGCTTCATGTTGTTGCAGCTTCAGCCTTGTCTGTCGGCATGGAGAAGCCTCTACTTTATAGGTCACATAATCATAGTAATGTTTATCATAATTCCCATATTTATTCCTAGGAAACGCGAGAGTAAAACCGAAGTTAAAAAAATTTCTTAACAAGAAAATTAATATACTATATTAGTAGGAGTATTTTATTTTTTGGTCATTAGTACGATTATTAAAGTAGAAGTGATTTATAGATTTTTTTTTTCGTTTGTTTACAATATGTAACTTAAATACTTGATTTTTTTGCCGTTACCAAAAAAAATTTAGAGTCCAATTTATAGCAAGACTAATATAATGTAGAAGTAGATGTATTTTATTCTTGGTTATTAGTGTGATGATTACAGTAGAAGTGATTTATAGGTCATTTCTTGACAATTAAACATCTAATTTATTTGAAACTGATGAGTACGTTTCTTTGAAAGAAGGTTCATTAGGGATTGTTCATTAGTTTCAGGGGAAAGGATGGTGCAAACGGGAAGSTTATTATTTTCCACTTAGACTTAAAGGGAAGGTAACAAGAATTCGTTCAACAGTTAGAATTTTTCAAGGGTGGATCCAGGGGGGGGGGCAAAGGAGGGCTGAATCCCCCCTTCTCCAGAAAAACAAAACAAAACAAAACTGAAGAATAAAGATGCTTTTTTTTTATCGTTTTCCTTTGTGTTGACGAAAGAAACTCAAGTAGCCACCCCTAAACTCAATTAGACCCCCCTAAAATTTTCGCTGGATCTGCTCTTGCTTTTTGTGTAAAATATTATAGGAGGCTAACAATTTTTCTGTGGCAGGAAAGGCAGGGCATTTTAAGAATATGCAAATTAAATATAAAATGCATTAGCCCTTCGCCCTCTAATAAATTACTGGTATCTTATTTATTATTTCTCTTGAGAACACATGTCATTAGACCCTTAAAAAGTGTTAGGGCTAAAGCAAGTAAGACACAAGTCATTGTTGCCGATGTTCAAAGTCATGTCAATTAAGCAATGTTGGGTATACTGTTCTCCAATCTCAGACCACTTGTCATTCCGGCTTGAGTATCATTTCTTTGTTCAACCCTTGCCATGAAAAACAAAGGAATCTTATYTTTWAGTGAATGACACGTGATCTGAAATTGGAAAACGTCACGCCGAAGCAGAATCCCAAACATCGATGCCGGACAAAATGGGTTTCCTGTTGGGCTTCCTGTGTCGTAGCTGTCATTTCCAAGATGGTGGTTGAACGGAAGTTTGTATATTTKTTGTACTCATTTATCTATGATAATAGGTTTTAAACCTCAATAAATTAGCTAAAAGATGAACCAATCTCAAGATGATGCAGTTATTTCCACTAACGACGATGCAACAGCTTGTAAAAGGTGATTTAATGCATAAACAGGTTTTTTCTTGTCGTCAGTGACTGCACCTGGTCACCGAAAACGAACTTATTTTCTGTTTGTATTTTGAATGTATTGTCGTTTACCACCGACATAAGCTACACTTTAATCCATTGGTATTGTTTAGATGAAGAAAAGAAAACTTAAATGAATGTTTAAGCCCTTCATTAGCATGGAGTGACCAATTGTAAAAGTGGTTTGAATATTGTTTGAGGGACCTGGAATTGGAAGTCGCCATTATTCGGATTGCGGATGGTGGATCGAGGAGCTATTTAAGTCACAATGCTTCTCAATAGCACAAGCTGAATTGCTTTCATGATAAATGCGGTTTTGGTAGATGCCAATCAAGTTATTTCTATGATATTTCATAGGCACCTATCATATGCAAAAGGTGTACCTTCCCTCCTACTCCTTCATAGTTAAGTCATGTGGATATCTTACTGGATAAATACAATAGTCCTTTACCAAATTAATTTCTTGAGTGACATGAAACAATGGCTGGAAGTCAAGGTTAGASTTGATGTGTTCATACATTTACTGTATTTTATATAAGTCTTACCTCAACTTGGAGCCATTGTTTCGTGGCCAATTTGGAAAATATCTATTAATTTAAGGGAGGGGGGGAGAATTACTTTTTGAATATAACCTTTTTTCCTTTGTGTTGTTGTTCTATTTAGGTTTGCAGTTCACATGGGATATTGGGAAGACAAATACATTCAATACTTTGCTAAAGTTGGAGACAGAAAGACACCAGAAATAAACCGAGGTACACCATATCTGTTCAGAAACAATGATTACTTAGAAAAATACATATTGATAGTTTTCAACCATTCCCAAGAGAATTAAATAACAAAAGACACGGTGGCCATGTTGGAGGATATAACAAAAGAATTCATTGACAATTCTTTTGTTAAGTTCCTCCAACATGGCTACCGTGAAAACCATCCATTGAAAGAATCCTTTTGTCGGCAGGTTACTATGCTCGTATTAAGGGTATCTTTTTCCTGTTGGATCAGTTTCTCACCCTCACTGATTCTCAGTGCCAGGTCGTTAGTTTTGGTGCTGGTTTTGACACTTTGTTTTGGCAACTCAAGGTAATATTGTCACGCTTCATTATTACATAATCTGTATTGCACTCACCTCTCACCTGTGAGGTCTCAAGTTGCACTAACACGTCATTTGACCACAACTTACAGGTCATGTGTCCCTTGTTTTCCATTCATGCTRTGTGACTCTGACTTTTGTGGCCCTTCACTTGTGCCTGATATTCTTAAAGCCCACCATCAAATCCCACCCCTCCTCCCAGATAAATAATGCTTCTTTCATGCTTTCATCCCTTCCCAGGGCTTAAAATAACAGCTGGATATCGGACAATGTCTACCCACCATTGAAACTTGTTCAGTCAAATCTTTGCCTTTCTGGTCGTTTTGACCAGTAACATTGAGCCAGAAACAAGATATACTGAGCYGAAACTAATTTGGCTTGTAATCATGACTGGTGACTGATTGGCAGTTATTTTAAACCCTGCTTCCTACATGTTGTATTCTTGATTATAGCATGGTAAAAAAAAACATTTTATTTTTCAATCATTACTGATATTAACATTTTGATAGGACAGAGGATGTGCTCCTAAAGTATTTGTAGAGGTGGATTTTGGCAATGTGACTGAAAGAAAATGTCGTTGCATAAGGTAAATACAGTGCAATGTTATAATGCGCTTTTGCTTGTCCTTTACGTCTTCAGCAGCATCATTATTGCCATAGATGGCTATTTGTGTTCAACCTGCACCATACTGTAATTCTTGATTTATGGGATATAAACGGATAGAGCKTGCGCTCGTTGATGTCAGCTTTAAATGTCTGTCCTCTTATTGATAATAAAATTAACCAATCTGCGCAMGARAAATTTGTAAGTTATTGTAAAAAGTATTCTTTCAAATTGTAAAATCCTTATAGTCCCACTACCCAACTAAGGTGACAGTAAATGGTCAGTCGAACACTTACTGACACCTTACCCTTATCTTAACGGCCACTTCCGGGTTATCAGACACCTTACCGACAACTCAGGAACATGTTATAATTGTAATTAATAAACCCACAAGCAGTGAGTAAACTAGATAATTAAATACTGTATGCTGATTAGGGAAGCACGGRTGGCGTAGTGGTGTGAGCGCTCGCCTCTCATCAATGCGACCCGAGTTCAAGTCCCAGACTCAGTGTCTTATATGAGTAGAGTTGTTTGTTGGTTCTCTCCTGTGCTTCAAGGGTTTTCCGGGTTCTCCAGTTTTCCTCCCTTCGCAAAAATCAACTCCTAAAATTCCAATTTGATCACAGAATGAGSGCCACAGGTTTGTTAGCCACTGGCTATTAAGTGCTACCCTTGTGAAAAAAGGACGGTTTTATTTTGAAATGACGATTCACCCATGACAAAAGAAAAGAATGATTTCAGGTCCTTTCATTTCCAATACACTTTTTGCTTCTGTGATAATATCATTATTATCCATTCACAATACATATATATATTATTTTTAAGGTCAAGAAGACAGTTACAGGAAGTCTTCAAAACAGAAGACAACCTAAAAATAGGTAAACAAATACACATTATGAGACATTGTTCCATTCAAAAGCAAATTCAATAGTATTGGTGGTTAAAAGTACAATCACATCAAAGTTGTTCATGTTATAAATGAATATTGTCCTTGTTTTATGAGTGTTAATTTAATAATAGGCAGTGGCTAACCAAACTGTGGCCCTCATTCCATGATCAAAATGGAAATATTTAGAAGTTGATTTTCCTGGTCTTGTGATGCACCCATTATTTTCTGATGGGTGTTGTATATCTTTTTAGTTTCATCTTTTGATTTTTGGCTTTCAAAGTAATATATACAGTATGAGTGGCYGTGTTGTATCCGACATACAAACTCGAGRMGTAGCCRARAGTTTGTATATTGGATACAACACGGACACGAATACTGTAGATTRCTTATTAAACSTCTAGGTTAGTTCYTTTGTGTTTCGCTAAACTTTTCAAGATAAAAGTGAATCTGGCCAAGAAAATCCATCTTAAAATTTATTCAAATGAACAGGATTCTGTATCWGATTTACAAAACTCTTCACGGTSGTGATTTCTGTTGTGTTTTCCTCATGACTTATTAATGAGTTTAATAAAGCATAATTATTGCATACCTTAACTCAACAGAGGAAAAGGAGATTCATTCAAACTGCTATCATCTGTTGGCTGCAGATCTTAGAGATGTTGATGTCATTGAATCTAAAATTACATCTATTGGATTGGATAGAAGGTGCGTTTGACCTTGACGCATGGTAGATTTGGATACAACTCAAACAAAGAATCTTATATTTGAGAGAATGACACGTGGTCTGAAATGGGCAAAACACTACGCCCTTGGAAGTGGATTAGGTTCATTCAGTCTGTGAGTTAGCTGAGTTGTTTTAGGGTATCAATAAAATTTGAAGATGTTGTTAAACAAAATATTTCTCATTAGCGTTCTTCGTTGATACTACAGACATATGCTTGCAAACCATGAATTTTCAATCCGAACGTGTGCAGTGCATGATTTAATATATTTAAATATATTGCAATCCATAGCTTACCAACAGTGTTTATAACTGAATGTGTTCTGGTGTACATGGAACCAAATAAATCTGCCACCCTCATCAATTGGGCAGGAAGTCATTTCAAAACTGCACTGTTCTTAAACTACGAACAGGTAATATTATATAATTTGCCATTCAAACAATGACAAGCATCTGACTATGGGTCTTATATTTTCGATGCATACACATATCTCATATGAAGTCAATAGCTTTTGCCATGTTGGTCTCCCCCTTAATTTCTACAAGGGTTTCTCTCCAATTTTCCTTACTCTGCAAAAATCAACATGTGAGTTGAGAGTTGTGAGTTYGAAACAAAATAATGTACATTTAGTGGTAGTGGGTGTAACAAGTGCATCATATACTTAGACTCAGCAACCCCATGGCTACCCTTACTAATATTAGGACAGATAATGATGATGCAGGTATTGGTACGTATTTCATGTGTTTTATCACCAGGTTAACATGCAAGACAGATTTGGTCATGTCATGATAGAAAACCTCAAGGTTAGCTGCTTGTCTAATTGATGGTCACCTTATGAATTACTGACACTATAACACTATGACACTAATGTATAGAGGCTGCCAGAGGCACCTTCACATGCTTTCAGTTTGACCCCATTGAGCTGCACCACTGCTGTACTTTGCAAGGTGGTGCTTAGCGATGACAATTTTTTTTGACACATGATAATTGATGATCATAATTAATGATTGTGATGATGATCTTGATAATGATGATGATGATGATTATTATTACTTAATCCTTGAGACAGTGCATTGTTTATGCTATGTTAGGCTAATACAATGCAGAAAGAGGGAAAGATAGACAATAAGACAGTATGAAAGATTTCAAGTCATTTATTGTGAACGTTGTTCTCTTGCAGTGTAGAAACTGTACTCTCCTTGGAGCGTTAGGCTGTCCTGATCTTCAGTCACAGGTATTATTAGCATTGCTGCTATTCCATATCATCCATCCATTTATCCATCCGCCCACCCATCCATCTACCCACCCATCCATCTACCCACCCATCCATCTACCCACCCATCCATCTACCCACCCACAGATTCAACCATCCTTCACCTGCCATTGATCCATCCAATTATCAGTACACCCATCAATCCATCCCATTTCATCCTATCCGTTTTTTCATATTTTTTTTGTTTGCT